AGATAGATATCTAATTCTATGTTTACCATTTGAAGAGCTGCCATACTGTTTTTGCAAAGTGGCTATGCCATTTTACATTCCCATTAGCAGTGTATGAGGGCTCCAATTTCTCCACATTCTTGTCAACACTTATTATCGGTCTTTATTATTGTAGCCATCCTAACAGGTGTGAAGTGATATCTCATCGTAGTTTTGATCTGCATTTCCCTGGTAGCTAATAAGATGAGCATCTTTTCATGTCCTTATTGATCATTCTTTGGAGGATTACCTATTTAGAGTTCTTGTCCACTTTTGAATTGGTTACTTGTGTTTTTGTGGTTGCCTTGTAAGAATTTTTTATATATTCTGGAGACTAGATTATTATTAGATACTTCATTCTACGGCCATACCACCCTGAATGCACCTGATCTCATCAGATATGTAATTTGCAAATATTTTGTCTCATGTATTTTCACTTTCTTTATAGTCTACAAAAAAAGTTAATGACGACTAGTTTATCTACTTTTTCTTTGTGGATTGCATTTTTGTTGTTGTAGCTAAGAAACAGTTGCCTAACCCAAGGTCATAAAGTTATTCCTAGGCTGGGCATGGTGGCTCACGCCTGTAATCCAAACACTTCAGGAAGTCGAGAAGGGTGGATCAGCTGAGGTCAGGAGCTCGAGACCAATCTGACCAACATGGTGAAATCCCGTCTCAACTAAAAACACAAAAATTGTGGTGGTGCACACCTATAGACCCAGCTGCTCGGAAGGTTGAGGCAGGAGAATCACTTGAACATGGGAGGCAGAGATTGCATTGAGCCGAGATCACGCCTTAGAACCTGCGTCTTCTATTGAGGGTTCTAAGGTGCCCAAAGCCCATGGCCCCCAGTGCTCTCCGGCAACAGGTGAAAATGCACACCATCAATGGCCAGACACAAAGGCAGGAGCTTGGATTGATGATTCATCATTGATTGATTAATGCATTTGATCAATGCATTAAAGTGCATGGGCAATGAAAAGTGATAGTTGAATAAAAACCAAACTCGTGACAATTCCTGGTACACAGCAAGCATACAAACAATTTGCCCTCTGTAGTTTGACTTCAACCATCTGAAATATGTGTGTAGAAGCAGAACTATGTGAAGAGATTAAGTCATTTTTTCTATTTTGCTATAACTTCTATAGAAACTATACACATATAATCTATATATTCCATGTATACATTTATGTATATAAATATTTTTTTCACTAGACCACCAGGGATGTATATAAATATTTATGCCCTAATAAGCATGCATTACTTTTATGAACTGAAGCATGATATATTTACTATACTATATTGAAAAAAAGCATTACCTTCAGAGTATTTGAATGTTTGCTTCACCATTTACTATGTTTGTGCCTTTGGCTTTCTAAAACTCATTTTCGTCACCTATAAAATGGACACAATATCCACCTCGCAGACTTCTTCTGAAGATAAGCAATACTGAAAGCAAAGCACCTAACACATTGTCTAACACACAGTAAAAGGACAGCTAATGCTATTTCTTTTTTTTTTTTTTTTTTTTTTTTTGAGACAGAGTTTCGCTCTTGTTACCCAGGCTGCAGTGCAATGGTGCGATCTCGGCTCAGTGGAACCTCCACCTCCCGGATTCAGGCAATTCTCCTGCCTCAGCCTCCTGAGTAGCTGGGATTACAGGCACACGCCACCGTGCCCAGCTTATTTTTTGTATTTTTAGTAGAGACGGGGTTTCACCATGTCGACCAGCATGGGCTCGATCTCTTGACCTTGTGATCCACCCGCCTCGGCCTCCCAAAGTGCTGGGATTACAGGCGTGAGCCACCGCGCCCGGCCTGCTATTTCTTATAACGGGAGAAAACAAACTTTCCTTTAAATTGATGAATAAGCAAATGCATGATCAACAAGCGCTTGTTACCTAGCAATAGCTCTGCTCATCGTCTCCTGTTCGTTAACTCAGTTAAGGTCTATGTGTTGAGCGCTAATTATACACCAGGCACCTTGCGTGGCCCATTAGCCCAGACTGGTTGTTGGATGAATGTTTGGACATTCCTGGATGCTGAGAAGAGGACATTCAAGGCTAGGAAGATTCAGATGAGCAGGCACATTGCAACCACGAGCTCTGGGGAAGGGAGAGAGAGATGTGAAAGCCATCAGCGAGGAGATGAAACATGTGCACCAAAGCCCTGGCACCATCCTCAGGTGAAAATTTTTAGGACCTAATCCCAGACCATCTACCAGACTTTTTCTTCCTGCTTCTGTAGCTGATTGTTGCTCTACTGAACCACAAATACCCAATCCCAATAGTGTATTAGTCAGGACTGCATTTGGTTGAATGCCTTGAAACCAAAAATCTACCTTAACAAATTAGGAATCATTTGTCTCATGTAGCAAGACATCTAGAAGTAGTTGCCTAGGGCTAGTGCTCAAAGATGTTACCAAGAACCCCCTTTCTTCTTTTTTCCTTCCCTGTCAGCCCTAACATTTGGTTGTCAACATGCAGGTCATGGACGGTGGCTGCTGCATTCTCATCCCAGGCTAGAAGATGCGGATTGCAAAGGACCAAAGATTATGCTAGTGAACCCATGTCCCTTTTGCAGTTCTCCCAGAGCACTACCTGGTGACTTCCACTCCCACCTTATTAGCCAGAATGGTGTCACATGCCCGCCCCCACCTGCAAGGCAGTCCTGGAAGATGTGCATTTTTTTTTCAGACAGAGTCTCACTCTGTCACCCAGGCGGAGTGCAATGGTGCGACCTGGGCTCACTGCAACCTCCGCCTCCCGGGTTCAAGTGATTCTCCCACCTCAGCCTCCACGGTAGCTGGGATTACAGGCACCCACCATCATGCTTGCCTAATTTTTGTATTTTTAGTAGAGACAGGGTTTCACCATGTTGGCCAGGCTAGTCTCAAACCCCTGACCTCAGGTGATCAGCCCACCTCAGCCTCCCAAAGTGCTGGGATTATAGGCGTGAGCCACCGCACCCAGCCTTAAGATGAGCATTTTTAACTGGATCATTGCTTCCCCAGTGAAATCAGGTGTCCACCAACAGTACCTTCCACAACTAAGCTGATGATGATGATGCTACTCCAGTGGCAGGCGTGAGAAGTCCCCAGGAAGAGTGCTGAGGTGCTGGAAAAGCTCTGGGGTCACTATTTGGGGAGGAAGCCAATTTTGTGTTCTGGGTGTCAACCGACACTTCTCCGTTAAAAGAAGGGGGAAGCTCCCTCTCATAATCCGGAGCTTCCAGAGGCAAAGACAGGGAAGAAGAGGAGGCCAGCAATAGCCTTCGGGGAACAAGGAAGAAGGAGAAGAGTGAGTGAGGCTGGATGTGGGCAAAGATCAGCAATCCAAAACTGAAAAGGAAAAAGCCTGCTGGTGGAAGGGCCAAGATGGGGCTGTGAAAGAACCAAATACCCAGAGACTGAGCGGTTGCCATGGAGAGTGTGGAGTGAGCCCCTCCTCCTCTCCCACACAGACCTTCTGCAAAGGGCAAGTTACTCATCCTATGGGCTGAGCTGTGTCACCCCAAAATCCATGTGTTGAAATGCTAACGCCCAGTACCTCAGAATGGGACTATGTTTAAAAACAGTCTTTATAATGACAACTGAGTTAAAATGAGGTCATGTGGGTGGGCACTCACCCAACATGACCGGTGTCTTCATGAGAAGAGGAAGTAAGAACACTGACAGGCAGAGGAGAGAACTTGGAAAGATGAGGAGAAGACGGCCATCTGCAAGCCAAGGAGAGAGGCTGCAGAAGGAATACCCTGCCATCACCTTGATGCTGGACACCTGCCTCCAGAACTGTGAGAAAGTAAATCTGTTATTGAAGTCACCCAGTCAAGCAAGGCACTTTGCTGTGGCAGCCCTGGTTAGCATTTAATCTGGAGAGATGGGTTGGGGCACTCTGAAGAGACAGTGTGTCTCACATCAGAATCTTTGTAGCTGCACAGAAACTGCTCAGAGTCAAACTCAGCAGCTTGAAGCAGAAGAGTAAGAGTCCCTGGGAAGCCACAGAAAGGACAAACACGTGTTGGGCTTTTGAAGACCTGGGGTTGAGGAGGGGCCAAGGGGTCTCAGGGCCCCGGCCATTATCCAAGCTTCACAAGCTAAGGACACTGGCTGGAAAGAAAAGAGAGACATGATTTCTTTCTGAGATCTCTCTTCCCCTGAAACCTGACCTAGGGGAGAGGAAGCCATTCTATGTGGAGGAGTGCTCCCCAAATGTGCCCTCTCCCAGGTCCCTCTGTCCCTGAAGAGAATCTTCCAAGGATCTGCTCTTGGCCAACTACCCTGTGGGAAATGACTCCGCGAGTTCCCCTCAGCTGCACTCCCCATTCTCCTCCCCGATTTATTTCACGCCACACTTCTCACCGTCTGGCATGCTACACGCTTGACACATTTATTTGTTTACCGTTTATCTCCCTCCACTTGAAACTTCTGGAGGGCATGGATTTTGTGTGTTTTGTTCACCACCAGATTCCCAGCTCCTAGAGAGCAGTAGATGCTCAGCAAATATGTGACATGAATCAATGACGTTACTTGCCAACAGCCTATTACTGAAAACTGATGAAATCTTTACACTCTGTCCCTAAGATATTTGCCTTTTCACATAGGAATCCAGGAGTTTGGAGTAACTTGAAGGTTCAGGTTAATTGGGTTTTTAAATGATGGAATCTCAGACAAATTGACAGATTCATACGGAAGATATCTGAAAGCAGACAGAACTTCCTAACCCTCCTCCAGTCGCCCCATGGAATCTGCTACGTGCTCCCTAAAGGTAGACCTCATGGGGACTCACGTGAGAGAGAAGGGAGCTGGGCAGGGGGAGTGTGGACCCAGGCCCTGGGCTCCTGGGCAGGGCCCACTGCGCTGCTCCTTCCAGAGCTCACTGGACCCATCCTCAGCCCCCAATTGCACAGAAGTGAGCCTCTGCATTTCAAGTGGCTGAGACGTCATTTTGGGGGAGTTTATGGCGTTATTAATATGGAAATATGCATGGTTCCATGGCAAGCAGCTTCCCCCTGTATTAATAATGGTTATTCACAGTCCAAGAGTCAAAGGCATTTCCGCTTGGGTGCTCATTAAAACTGGCCCCATAAAGAATGAGAATAAGGCAGTAAATCAGCCGTGGGTCCAACCATCTCATGTCACTGGAAGTAGGGGCCTGTACCACCAGAAAGTGGGGTGACTATCTCAAATCCTGCTCACCCAGCCGTGTGCTAGACAGCCCACCCTCCCACCATCACCCTTGTGCAAACTGCTCCCCCATTCTGCTCCTAAGAAGGGAGCCGTAGGTCCTGGAGTCACCTGTCATCTTCAGATACTCTTCAGCCATCACAGGTGACGAGAGCCGGGGAAAATCTGGAGTCAGCCCGGAAACCCTGACTCCAGCCCAGTGCCACTCTTCCCACAAGCCCTGCTGAGATCCCAGAAGTGTGCAGCTCCTGCATTCTTCCAGGGGAGGGTAAATGCTGATTCAGTCTACATTTCTTAAGGAAGACTGGGGGAGTGTTTCACTGACCTATCTCAGCCTTGAGGAAATACATAGCGTAGGTATGCAGCTCATCGTTTACAAAAATTCGATGTCATTTATTTTCCTGATCTTCATCTTGCTACAAACTCCATGCCTGTCAAGTCCTAACTCTGTGTCATGACATTTGTTGTTATTATCACTGCTACTATCAATACTATTATTAGAGGGGACTCCTCTAATTGATAGAAACTTCAGCAGGATTACATAGAGAAGGAACCCCAAAATTTGTAAGTTTCCAAATGATACTTGACCGTAACGTTTGGTTATCTATGGCTGCATAACAAACTACACCAGAATTTGGTGGCTTAAAACAACGATTTATTATTTCTTATGATTCTGTGGGTCGACTGCGCTTAGCTTCTTGACACAGCAACTGGATCTCAAGGTGGCCCAGGCCAGGAGCGGTGGCTCGTGCCTGTAATCCCAGCACTTCAGAAGGCCAAGGTGGGCAGATCGCTTGATCCCAGCAGTTAGAGACCAGCCTAGGCGACACGATGAAGGACCAACTCTACAAAAAATACAAAAATTTGCTGGGCATGGTGGCACGTGCCTGTAGTCCCAGCTATTCAGGTAGTTGAGGTGGGAGAATGATTTGATCCCGGGAGATCAAGGCTGCAGTGAGCTATGATTTGTGCCACTGCATTCCAGCCTGGGTGGTAGAGTGAGACCACGTCTCAAAACAAATAAATAAATAAAAAGGTAAATAAAAAGATGGCCCAAAGAGAAGCTGCAAGGCCTCTGAAGGTCTGGGCCGAGAAGTCACGCTGTGTCACTCCAAGCACATTCTGTCAGTCAAAAGATGTCACAGAGCCTGCCCAGCCAAGGGGACAGGAAACAGCCCCCCAAGCCCCCAGCCACTGATGGAAGAAACCGAATGTGCACCCAGGGATAGATCACTAGTGCCGTCTTTGCAGTCTGTCAGTCTCACCTAAATAACCTTCGACAAAGCAGACCCACTCTCTTCACAAGCGCCCGTGTATATACCACCTAGCTTATGTGGGCCTTGACTTTCTGACCAGGTAAATGGAGATGTTGGTGTCTTGTCCAACCAAAGATAGGAACCGAATAGGATAACCTGTTAAAATCCCTTCCAGCTGTGAGTGGATGGCTTCTACTGTCTCACAGATGCTTTCAATTACAAATGATTTTCATACATCCTTTGAACCTTAGGACCTAAAAATGATGAAAATATCTGTTTTCTCTCCACCAGTAAGTCTTAAATCTTAGACTGTGTTTAGTGATCCTTTAATTCCACAGTAATGTCAGAACCACCAAACTTACCTGAATTTGTTCCTCAAATTTCTTTTGGCATGTATTATTTTTCCATCCTAAAGGAAAGAGAAAAATTTGGGTCAAGCGTTAAATATGGGCTGGGCGTGGTGGCTCACACCTTTAATCTTTGCACTTTGGAGGCCAAGGCAGGACAGTCGCTTGAGCCCAAGAGTTTGAGACCAGCCTAGGCAACCTAGTGAGATCACCGTCTCACAAGGAAATAAATTAAAAAAAGTTTTTAAGTTAAATGTAAAGACCAGGCTCAGTGGCTCACGCCTATAATCCCAGAACTTTGGGAGGTCAAAGCGGGCTGATCACTTGAGGCCAAGAGTTCAAGACCAGCCTGGCCAACATGGTGAAACCTTGTCTCTATCAAAAAAATACAAAACTTAGGCAGATGTGCTGGCACACACCTGTAGTCTCAGCTACTCAGGATGCTGAGACACAAGAATCACTTGAACCTGGGAGGCAGAGATTACAGTGAGCCAAGATCATGTCACTGCACTCCAGCCTAGGCAACAGAGCAAGACTCTATCTCAAACATACATACATACATACAGTGAAATATGACAATCCTTTCCCAGTAATTCTGTGAGAAAACGTGAAACGCATGCAAGAGGAAAAATTACATTAAACCTAAAGAAAAGAGATCACAGCAGGATTGTTGACCCAAAACATACATGCGTCACAGGAAATGGAAGGAGAAACACTGGCCCACACAATGACAATGAAAAGGACCTTTGGACTAGCCAAGCAAATAACAACAGCAAAAAGCTTGGCCCAGCACAGTGGCTCACACCTGTAATCCCAGCACTTTGGGAGGCCGAGGAGGGCAGATCACGAGGTCAGGAGATCGAGACCATCCTGGCCAACATGGTGAAACCCCATCTCTACTAAAAATACAAAAAAATTAGCTGGGCGTGGTGGCGCGCGCCTGTAGTCCCAGCTACTCGGGAGGCTGAGGCGGGAGAATTGCTTGAACCTGGGAGGCGGAGGTTGCAGTGAGCCGAGATCACGCCATTGCACCCCAGCCTGGCGCCTGTTGAAGGAGTGAGACTCTGTCTCAAAAAAAAAAAAAAAAAAAAAAAAAAAAAAAATATATATATATTACTTTAAGAAAACAGAAAATTTAAAAGTATTACAAACACATTTTTTTTGACAGTGTCTTGCCCTGTCACCCAGGCTAGACTGAAGTGGTGGGATCATAGCTCACTGCAGCCTCTAACTCCTGGGCTCAAGTGATCATACCACCTCAGCCTCCCCAGTAGCTGGAACTATAGATACATACCACCACACACGGTTAGTTTTTTTGTGTTTATTTTTTTGTAGAGACAGCGTCTTCCTTTGTTGCCCAGACTGGTCTCAAATTCCTGACCTCAAGCCATCCTCCCACCTTGGCGTTCCAGGCATGCGCCACCGCACCTGGCCATAAACACAAATTCTTTTACACAAAATTAAATATTGATGAAAAAATGTATTCACACAGCCAAGCAACACCTCCTTGCAAATTCCTATTTCCTCACATAAATCACTCTTCTCATGTTTCTCTGCACCACAGCTTGAGGCTTTTCTTTTGCTTTATCTTCACATAAAATGTCATCAAAGCACCTCATAAATTTGTTTTGCAAATTCACCGTGTCTCACGCCCATAACCTTGTCCCTCTACAAAACAGAATCCGGACCAGCTGTTCTGAATACACCTCTAGAACAATGCCTGGAAGAGCTCATCAGCACGGGACATCATGAAGACAACAAAACAAGACTAAAAATGAGAAGTGCGGGAAACTGACTTCTCATATGTACACACTAAACACATAGCAGGGTCCTGATGTTAATTTTCAGTCCTTCCACTTAAGGAACCAGTAAAAACTCTAAACTGACCATCCCATTCTGTTCTTTTTCCACCTCTTCTCTACAGGGCTGCAGCTTCCTTTAAAATCAGGGTCCATATTGTGACTTGCCAGAATTTCACAGGAAATCTCTGCCAACATTGTAATACAAAAATTCACCCGACCTACCAAGTACTTTATGTAACTGTAACACGAAGGGTTGCTTCCTCCAACACAACCTGTTCTCGGTGTTTATGTTTCCCTGGGGATGGTTTCCCACTCTCTGCAGCTTCAGAATCACTGCGTTCCACCCACAGTCGACATAAGACAGGGAGAGTTTAAGTTTTGTCTTTCTTGCTGGCTAGGCAAAGGTGACTCCATATTAGAGTCTAGGGTGAAGATGCTTTCCTCTCTTGCACTGTCTCTCTCGACATCTTTTAGCCACTGTCATCATCCCCAACATCACCATGATACTTCTGTGTAACAGCCTTGAAAGAAGCTGCTCAACTCAAGACCTCATGAAACGCATTTGTAGCTGCGGTCACGCGGGCTACATGAGCACAGAAAGTCCAAATCACAGAATTTTTTTAGAGTTAACAGAGACTCTACAGATCAACTCCATCACCCTCATTGTGGAAATAAAGAAACTGAGACAGTAGAGGAGGGGAGGGAGGCGAGTGGAGGGGAGGGAGGGGAGAAGAAGGGGAAGGGGAGGGGGAAGGGAAGGGGAGGGGGAAGGGGAGGCGAGAGTGAAAGGAAGGGGAGGCAAAGTGGAGGGGAGGGGGAGGGAGGGGAGAGGAGGGGGGGAGAGGAAGAGGGAAGGGTGAGGGGAGGGGAGGAAGGAGAGGGGGAGGGGATGAAAGGCAGGGAGGGAAGGGGGAGGGGAGAGGAGAAGAGGGGAAATTCATTCATGTTTGCACAGAACAGAGAACAGAAGTTGCAACTCCTGACTCTTTAATGTCCCAAATAGGACCCATTTTGGATTTCAGACTTGCCACAGAGATGGGGCCAGCAGTGGGGATCTCTCTCCTCTACTGCTGTCCTGCAGACCCAAGCCTTCCATCTGTCATGGCCTTCTAAGCCTCCCTTTCCATCCCTTCCCTGGGCATGGCTTACAGGGGTCCAGTGGAAGCGTCCACAAGCAGGGCTAGTTTCACAGGAAAAAAACCTGGACAGTCCCACAAGACCCCACATTTAGAAAGCCTCTGTGCTTGACTTCAATTTCTGCTGACGCTGTCTTGAAATTCTTAGTAGTTTTTTAACATACTGGAGACCCTCACATTTTCATTTTGCACTGGGCACTGCAAACTACATAGCCAGTCCCATCCACAGTACATACCACATGAATTAATCACCTTTGACTAGCTCACAAGAAGCACAACACCTCAGAATCTCCCTCCTACCCTGAGTGTGGGTGGGACACAGAGCGATTACAATGTTACAGCAACCTCACCCACATTTCTCTTCCAGGGAGGCTCAGGAGGGTGAGTGAGAAGATCAGTAAAAACTATCACTAAGCATCCTCCCTCCCTGGGCTTCGGGTTCCAGAAAAAGACCCCTTGTCCCTATCTGAGTCCCAACTACCTATCTGTGAATATACAGCAAGTGCTCCCTTGGCCTAATTAACTAACCTCTCTGAGCCCCTGTTCTTTCTTTCCTCCAATTATAGAAGCCATAAATGCTCATTATAGAAAAATTGAAAAGTGCAGAAAAACAGAAGGAAGAGAAGGTCACCTGCCTTATTTAACACACATATTTTCTCTGTAAGGTACACTGCAGCCTTACTATCTGAATGTCATCACTGTTAATACTTTTGGGTTTTCCTTCTGGCTTCCTTCCATGCCTACGCTTTTTCACATATGCAAGGAAAGACCACCTTCTTCCCGGCAAGAAAGAGTATTGGTAATCTTGGGACCCTCTGCTACTGGTGGCCTAGAGACCCAGAGGAAGGAGTAGAGAAATAGCAGCTGACCACAGGATGGCAGTGCCCAGCCACCGTGGTTCTCACAGGCATTGCATGCCCTCTACATAGGGGTGGGGCTGGGGAAAAGAACCCAGAGTGGCAAGCAGCCCAGCAGGTGACAGGGACCCCCTCCATCCCAGCAGTGCCCTGCTCCTATCACAGTTCCTGTTGCAACCAGGATCTCAGGGGGCGGAAGTAAACAGGGACAAGAAATCTTCAGCAGCTTTGGGGATGAGACCCTCAAGGAGCTGAGTAGACATGGATTGTGGGTCATTTCTTTAAACCATAACCCTCGTAGGCTAATGGGAAAGATAGCAGTGGCTAAGAATAGCGTCCCTCCATGACCAGAGGAGGGGACTTCCAGTGGGTGCTGGTGGGGGGTGGAGAGAAGGGAGGAAGGCACTGCAGGTTTTCATGGCCCCCCACTCACCCCACAGGCTGATGGCATTTGGAAAACACCTGCAATGTAAGGGGTTATCACATAGTATACAGAACTGCATATTCTGGTTTTCCACACAACACAATATCATAAGTGATTTTCCCTCTTATAAAATATTGACAAATACTTTATTATTTTCCATTATGTAGATATACTATAATCTATTTGGCACTACAGTGAACATCTTTGTAGTTAACATTTTTCAGTATTTAGGATTATTCCTTTATAATTAATATTGATTAGATTAATAAGTGATTAGATTCAAATATTGTACATTTTTTGGATACTCAATACACTGCTTTCCAAATTGCACAAATTTACAATCCAACCAGATTAGATGAGAGTGCTGCATATGGGAAAACACACATATACACACGTAAACATACACACTCAATTCTCATTATTCCTGGTAGTTATGTTCAAAAAAGTCACTGCAAGCACTGAATTACAAATACTGAACTACAGCTCCTATGGGAAATACAGGGTTAGGTTCCTGCAAGCCTCTGCTCACATTTTCATCAACCAGTCAATACATAACCTTGTTCTATGAGTGTTCTCTTTAAAGACACCTCATTTACTACATGTCATTCATTCATTAACACTAAAATTACAGCCAGTAGCACTGTAGCACATGACTAAGTGAAGCTTGTCTCTAACACATGCATCTTCTCTGTAAGGCACATAACAGCCTTCTGGCACTTGGAAACCCTAGACAGCACTTGAGCACTATTCTTGGGGGCTATTTTAAACAGTGAAATTCCCCCAAAAAAGCATACAAATGTAAAAAATGTTAGCTATGTGTGGTGGCACGCCTGTAGTCCCAGCTACTCGGGAGACTGAGGAGGGAGGATCACTTCAGCCCAGGAAGTGTTCAAGTCTGTAATGAACTATGATCATATCACAACACTCCAGCCTGGGTGACTGAGTGAGATGCCATCTCCAAAAACAAGTTAAGGCTGGGAGCAGTGGCTCACACCTGTAATCCTAGTATTGTGGGAGGTTGAGGTGGGTGGATTACCTGAGGTCAAGAGTTCAAGACCAGCCTGGCCAACATGGTGAAACCTTGTCTCTACTTAAAATATAAAAATTAGCCCAGCGTGATGGCAGGTACCTGTAACCCCAGCTATCGAGGAGGCTGAGGCAAGAGAATCACTTGAACCCAGGATGGGGAGGTTGCAGTGAGCCAAGATCATGCCACTGCACTCCAGCCTGGTCAACAGAACAAAAACTCCATCTCAAAAGAAAAAAAAGAAAAGTTACATTTAAAATTTTTTAAATGTTAAAAAAGGTAACACTAAATAGACCACAAAATGGACACATATTTACAGTATGGGAGCTGAACCAAGAAGGCAGAATGTCCCCTTTTTCACCTCATCCGGGAACGTGCACATTGGAGAACTCAATTTTTACCACTCTGAGCATGTCTGGGAACCATGAAGATTACTTTTGGAGTTACTAATGAATTTTAGCAAGTAGGTGAATTCACAAATACAGAATCTGTGAATAATGAGGCTTGACTGTGTTTATATGTGAGTACATAAGTGTGTGTGTGTGTGTGAGTGTGTGTGTGTGTGTATGTGCATATATATTTATAGATAGAGACAGACAGATAGATAGATCAATCTTGTCTTAGGCTCCAGGAGAGCATGTGAAGTTTTTCTTTTGAAAAAGTAAATCGCTGGGCACGGTGGCTCATGCTTGTGATTCCAGCACTTTGGGAGGCCAAGGTGGGCAGATCACTTGAGCTCAGGAGTTCAAGACCAGCCTGGACAATATGGCAAAACCTCGTCTCTATTAAAAATACAAAAATTAGCCAGGCGTGATGGCATAGACCTGTAATCCCAGCTACTCAGGTGGTTAAGACGGAAGAATTGCTAAAACCCTGGAGGAGAAGGCTGCAGTGAGCCAAGATCGCATGACTGCACTCCAGCCTGGGCAACAGAGGGAGACCCTGTCTCAAAAAAAGAAGTACAAGAACAAGACAAATATATGATAAGACAAGTAGAATAAAATGTTAATGGTAAAATCTAGGTGGTGGGTTTTATAGGTGTTCTCTATAAAAGCCAACTGTTCCAGAGTTTTAAATTTTTCATAATTAAATGTTTTCTTTAGTCACATCTATAGAAAAAATATAGAAAAAAAACTACATATGTCAAAGCTGTGGCCACTGAAAAGGCCAAGAAGCAATGATAACCCAGTAGCAACTAGTAACCCCTGGCGCCCATATTGTGGTCTCTAAATACCATTTTCCCCTAAAGGGAACCACGACACCTTTGAGACATGGCTACTCCAGTTCTGCAGTGGAAAATGAATATCAAGCCTAGAATATCTTGCACCTGAAAGTAAAAACACTCTCAGGTCATGTCGAAACGTTACAGAAATTATTGCATTTTGTTAAGTTCACAAACAGACAAAACTCATGCATCATGAGAGAAGTCAGTATAGCAGTTACTTTTACGGTAGGCAGAGCAGTGACTAGCGATAGACCAGATGCTTCTAGGGTGCTGGTATCTTGATCTAGAGAGACCCCTCCCCCGTCTCTACCCACTAAATAAATAAATATGAAAGCATTAAGCTAGATGAAATAAACTAGACATAAAAGCCTACATACAACTCCATTTATATGAAATTTTAGAGAAGGCAAAATTGTAGTGATAAGCCAGATAAGCAGTTGCCAGGAGCATGGATTCGGGGAGGGCATGAAGGAACTTTTAGGGTTGGTAGAAATGTTCTGTGTCTTGAGAGTGGTGGCGGTTACCTGATTATATTCAAAACTCACCAAAATCGTATGCTTAAAATTGGTAACTTTTATTTTATTTAAATTATGCCTTAATAAGGATTCCTCAGAGAACTAAAAGTAGAACTACCATTTGATCCGGCAATCCCATTACCAGGTATCTACCCAGAGGAAAAGAATTCATTATATGAGAAAGATACTTGCACACGCACGTTTATAGCAGCACAATTTACAATTGCGAAAATGTGGAACCAGCCCAAACGCCCATCAATCAACGAGTGGTATATATGTACCATGGAATGCTACCCAGCCATAAAAAGGAATGAAATAATGGCATTTGCAGCAACATGGATACAATTCGAGTCTATTATTCTAAGTGAAATAACTCAGAAATGGAAACCCAAACATAGCTTGTTCTCTCATATGTGGGAGCTAAGCTATGGGGACGCAAAGCCATAAGAGTGATTGATACACTGGACTTTGGGAACTTGGGGGAAAGGGTGGGGGCTGGCAAGAGTAAAAGACTACACATTGGGTACAGTGTACACGGCTCAGGTGGTGGTTGCACCAAAGTCTTTGAAGTCACCACTAAAGAACTTATTCATATAACCAAATAATACCTTTTCCCCAAAAACCTATTAAAATTAAAAATATGGGATTTCAGGGTTTGTGTTAATAAAAATAAATAAATTTAAAATTTTTAAAATAATAATAAAATAATATATCTACAAAACAAAAGGAAAAAAAATGTACCTCAATAAGG